TGCCGCCGCCGCCGCAGGCAGCACCCCTGCGACGGCGGCGGCAGCAAGCCGTGGACCGAAACTCCGTGCCGCCGAGTCCCGTGGCTGTGGCCGTGGGCTTCTGGCAGGAAACTACGGCCGCAGCTCGGCAGCACGGGGGCGTCGCAGCGTGCCGCCGCCGCCGCCGCGCTGCCCCCCGGGCACGGCGGCGGCGGCAGCAAGCTTGGGCCCAAACGCCGTGCCGCCGAGTCCCGTGGCTGCGACCGTAGACCGTGGGCCGGAAACTGCGGCCGCAGCTCGGCGGCACGTGGTTCTGGTCAAATCGCCAAGCGTGCAGCAGCGCCGAACCACGCTTCCCGGCCTCGGCGCATGCCTTCAGGGGCCCCCTATCGCTGGGCACACCCCTCCAACACCGAACATGCGCCCGGGGGGGAGGGCGGCCCGGGCTGCCCAGGCCAAAGTGGGCCGCCCTCGAGCAAGAGGCGGCCGGGCTGTGTGCTGAATGAATGAATGAATGGCCGTGCTGCGGGCAGTGCGGCCACTGCGCGTGCTGGCACGCAGCCAGCAGATGCTGATGGTGTCTCGCACTCTTTTGCGTTCGCTGGCCTCCATGGGCCACGTCACAGGTGGGAGCTTGCTGCGATGGGGTGCGGGGCTGCTCCACTAGGCACGCGTCAGCTGATCTGTTGCTTATGCTAAAACTGCAGTCCTGGTAGGAATGGTGCTCCTCATCTTCTCAATCATCTCCGTCCAGCTGTTTGCCGGGTTGCTTTGGAGCTGCAACGACGAGAGTGTGGCTGGCAAGGTGGGGGCAGCAGGGCTGATGCGAGAGTGCTGCCAGGTGCCCATGCTGACATGATTCAGTCATTACAAGCCAGCAACCAAACGAGTGTACCGGCTGTAAAGCCACGCTGCAGGAGGAGTGTGTGGGGGTGTATGTCGCCACCGAGACGGGCACCCTGGAACAGCGCGTGTGGAGCAACTTGTGGCTCAACTTTGACAATGTGAGGCACCAGCTTCAAGAAAGTTATGTTGCCAGTTATGTTGCCAGTTGAAATGGGGCCCAAGCCGCCTCCTGCCATGTGCACTTCCTTCCTTTGCTCGTCGCATGCAGGTTGGCAACGCATTCATCACCCTGTTCATCACTGCAACTTTCGACGGCTGGACCGAAACTTTCTATCTCACCCTGGCCACAAAGTGAGTTCGGCTGCCACCTTTGGCAGTTGGCCTGTGGTTGCGCCCGGCCCTGGCTCTTGCGCCAGCTTTACTCTGCTTGTGCATCCCTTCTGCCTGCATCTCAGCAGGGAGGCGCCAGACTTGCAGCCCCAGCTGGGGAGCAACTTGGTAGCATTCTTGTTTTGGTTCGCATTTATCTGCACATGTTCCTTTTTTGTACTCAATTTGACCATCGGGGTCGTGTTTTACGAATTCCAGCGCCTCAAACTGCTAAGCGAAACAGGGAGCGCAGTGTTGACGGCCGGTCAAATGGTGTGCAAGCTCAACTCGCGAGATACACCTCTGGTGATGCAACCTTGGCTGAGCAGGCATGTGCCGCGGCCCCCCCCCGTACCCCACATGCTGTATGTAGGGTCACATGGAGATTTTGCAGGCAGTTTTTCGACTTAAACCGATTGATCGGGCTCCAGAGCCACGCAACCAACTGCGGCGCTGGTGCTACCGCCTTGCCTACAGCCGCTGGTTTGATCGCTTCATGCTGCTCACGGTCGACTTGAATATCGTTCTGACCGCCACCACAGTGAATGGAGCTCCTGCCCGGTTGACCAAAGTGCAAGATGCCGCCAACACGGTCTTCTCGGCTGTGGTGATCTTGGAGCTGTTGTTTAAAGTGATGGCAATGGGATTGCAAATAGGGAGGAGCAACTGGCACAAGCTGGATGTATTATTGTCGATGGCAGCTTTGGCAGATATCGCAACCCAAATTGTCAATGCCGCATCGCACACCACCACCGTGAAGCTCGGGGCGTTCAAAAAAGTGCTGATGCTAGCACGTGTGGCGCGCATGTTCCGGCTTTTGCGGCACGTCAAGGTAACAGTGCAGTCTCTGCCTGCAGCAGCTGGCTAACCAAGCCAGTGGGCCTGAATCCCACTGATGCACGTGTGCATGCCATCACGCCCATGCAAGCCCGCCTCTGCAGGGCATCCAAATGTTGCTCAGCACGCTGGTCATCTCTCTCCCAGCAATCGTCAATGTTGGCGCGCTGCTGTTGCTCCTCTTCTTCATCTGTTCCTATATGGGTTTGTACAGCTTGCAGTGGCTGTAGTTGGCATGCAAGCCAGCCGCATCTCACTGCCTGCTCTGTTCTCTGCTGCGCTTCATGTATGCCGCAGGGGTCCAACTTTTTGGGAGCGTGGTGTGGCAAACACACCTCAACGCCCACGCCAATTTCACCACATTCCCCCAAGCTCTCCTCCTGCTTTTCCGAGTTGCCACTGGTGACAATTGGACACTGTTGCTGCACGACTGCATGGTGCAGCCACCAGCCTGCGACCTGGCAGCTGGAAACTGCGGCCATTGGTGGGCCCCTTTATATATTTTTACCTTCTTTTTGGCGGGCGCTCTGATTGCCATGAATCTGGTGGGTGGTAGATGCGGATTGCCTTTGGTGTGACTGTTGATTTGCATCAGCAGGGCGCGTCAGATCAGACCCCTTCTGGTAGCTCTCCACCTTGAGAGACTTCCCCTCCCCTGCTTTTGGCAGCTGACCACCGTGATTCTGGAGAGCTTTGAAAGAATTCAGAACTCGGCAGCATGGACGCTCACGCCACAGCACCTGGAGGTGGGGTGGGGCGTGCATACGCATTCATGTGCGGTGAGGGGTGCTTGGTTCACTAGATGGAGGGTTGCTAGATGGAGGGTTGATGGAGGTTGCTAGATGGACGGTTTCCCCCCTTCAGGATTTTGTTGCGTTGTGGTCCGAGTTCGATGATGGTTCTTCTGCAATTGATCCCAGCGATCTAGAAGCATTGCTGCGGCGCCTGCCACCACCCATGGGCCTGGGCCCGAAGGCCACCGAGAGCGACATCATGCGCTTTGTGTTTGGCCTGAACATCCCGTTGGACAGCCGTGGGTTTGTACCGTTCCACCGAACCGTTTATGAGCTGGTGCTGCGGTGAGTGCTGCACGGGATGAGTGGCAAGATAGCGGCAATGCGCTGCATGCTGGAGTCGGGTGCCAACCCAGAGTCAAGGTGCGCGCCACTGCACATGCAGGGCCAACCAGGAGGAGATTCCCGAGGGCGAGCTCAAGCGGCGAATGGACCGCATGGTGCGGCGCTTCCTCACGCGCCACGCTCCCAAGCAGGAGCAGGAGCTCATGAACTTTCAGATGGCAGTGACCGTGTTGAGGATTCAGCGCAAATGGCGACAGATTGCAGCACGGCGTAAGGCGGAGCGTGAGGCCGCACGACCCATGGTGCCTCGCCTGGACCTCAGCCGAGTACAGACCTGGGGCACAGGCCGGTAGCACAGGGCTAGGGGGCAGGCAAGCATTACTGTAGGATCCTTTACAGCTTGACCATGTGTTGTTCCTCTATTTATTGTTACAAATCATTTGAAAAGGTCAGACAATGTGATCTGGTGTAGTAAAGTGACCCCTTCTCATTGGCCACGTGCCCGTAAACACGTTCCATGCTTCCTAGCCATGCGAGCGGGCGTGATAAATATCCAGCAATTTGAGCTGAGATGCCGAGAGTGGCTCCAGGTGCGGCTTGATGGCATCCCCAACCACCTGCATCCGCCGAGAGAGTTGGCAGGGCCGGTGCAACAGGTGAGTTTGGTGCAACAGGTGAGTTCCCAGCAGGCAAAGGACGGCAAAGGTCACCCAAAAGGCAGCAGCCCACTCACCAGCCAGATGCTGATCAGGCAGTCTACTGTCGCCTTGCGCACATCCGTGAGCGGCGAGCGGTAGGTGGTGCACAGCCCCGGCAGAAGCAGCGGCTGCAGGTGCGCGCTGAGCCCTGCAGGCTGCATATGGACCACCACTCTGCGCAGGCTGCGAATGGTGGCATGCAGCTCGGCGCCCTGCTGCCGGTCAGTGGACAGCGAGTCGCCGATGGCCGGCAGGCGCGGCGCCAGCACCCCCAGGCAACTCTGCGGCGGTGCCCGCAGCAGCAGTGCCTCGAGCGCTTCGTCCGCTGCCAGGACAATCTCACGCGCCTCTTGCTCCGCGGCGCAGGCCAGCAGCATGGGCAGCAGCAAAGGGAGGGTCGGGAGGAAGAGGGATGGCAGTACCGCTGCAGCCAGGTCACGAGCCAGCATGAGGCCGGTGTCCCGCAGCACCAGGCTGGTGCTTCCAAGCGCGGCGCACACAGCTGCCATGACCTGCATAGTGCAGGCGCACCACAACAGTATCTTGCTGCACTGGAACCAATTGCTGACAAAGAAGAGCAGTGGCAATCTGTGAGGCAAGCAGATATCCTGGCATTGGATGTAATCACTTAAGTATTCTCTACAACTTTCGGCACCCATTGCGCACCTGATCGAAGCAGGGCGGCCAGGCTGCCGCTGGCAGCACATGCGCAAGGCGTGACAGGCCCTGCAGGGCCTCCGCACTGGGTCCTGCCTCCAGCTGCACCATCAGACGCTCCAGCTGTGCCGCCATCACATCATTAAATGGCACCACCGTGCCGGTGGGCACTCTCACTTCCAATCGCTGCTCAGCGCGAAGCTGAAGTGCTGCCTGAGTCACCGCCCCATTCGCGGCAGGCTCTGCGGCTGGGCTGGCTGCCACATCAGCAGCAGCTCCTGCTGATTCTGTTCCCAGCGGCGACGCAGACTGCACCCGCCACAGAAATGGCGACGGGGGCTGTGGGGTGTGCTGGTCTGCTGGAGCAGGACCTGCTGTTTGCGCCTTGCCTGCTCCAGAAGAAGACGAACCGGCGCGGCTGCCCTGCTTGCTCCTAGCATTCAGGCTGCCGCTGTTTTCCTGGCGGCGGTGCTCCTCCTGCGGCGGCAGCTTCAGACCCTCGCTGCTCTGTCGGCGGCTCGTCAGGCTGCCAGACTGCTGATGACTGGGCTCACTGTCCCTGCCGGGCCGTGATGACAGCGGAGCAGGCACCACATGAGCCTCGCTGCAACTGCCCTGCTGCTGCTGATGGATGGCTGGGCCGATGGCGCGCTGCACCATCAGCAGGTCTGCCGGCGGCAGACTGTGCAAGGTGTTCAGCACTGCCTGTGCCTCGCCGCCATGGTAGGCTGCTGCCACTGCATCGGCTGCCGAGCGCCGGATGTCTGGGTTCTTGTCTGTCGTCAGCTGCAGCAGGCTGCGCAGCAGACCGCCCAGTGCAGACCGTGGAAAAGGTCCCATCAGCTGCTTCAGCAGGCCCTGCCGCTCTTCACCGCCGCCACGAACTGCCCTAGCGAAAAAGTCCATCACAGCGCATTTGACCCGTGGCGCGCGGTTGGCCTGCAGCGAGCGCGCCAGTGCGCCCAAGACAACATCCGCGCTGTGCTGTGCCAGCGCTGCCGCCAGCGCAGCATCCACCAGCACCCTGATCTGTTCCTTCGGGTCTACCACCCTGCAGAAGCCATGGCATTGGGGGGCAGAATCAAGCTGACTGTGCCCTCCCACCTGCCAACAGATGCACTCCAAAGCGGCCCGGGGAACATGCCAGCCACCTCCATGTCCCCGGCCATGCGGCGGCCCGGAATGCACACTGTGTTGCCGGCCCCCGCACGCTTGGATACCCACCTGGCAAACAGGGCTGTCATCACGCGATCCAGCTGCGGTTCGAAGGCCCGGCTGCAGGGGCTGGCAAGCCCCACGCCCAGTGCCGCCAAGGCCGCAGCAGCCACGCGGAAGTGGGCGTCACCACAGCCCTCCAGCAGGGCAGCCACCAGACGGTCGGTGTTGGAGGTCACGTCAGCAGCCACCACATGGCTGTTGCCCGACTGCTCCAGGGTGGCCTGGACAACCTGAAACACGGAGACGCGGTTGCCCCAGTCTACCCCAGACTTGCCCAAGCGAGCCAGCAGCGGTGCCAGGCTGGCTGGTGGGCAGACGCCGGCAATGGCCTCCTCCCTGCCGGTACACACACTGCTGCAGACCTCTGCATGGCCAAACAGGTGCCAAGAATGAAGTGAATACAACAAGCATGGTTGCTGATTTGCAGCAGGCCAATCACACGGCCCTGAACTGCCTCCTGCACACCTGAGTCCTCTTGGATGCTGCTGGCCTGCCGCTCCAGTCCGAGCGGCCATGCTGCAGGCTCCACATGTTGCTGCAGCTCTGGGAGAGCCGCTTGTGAGAGAGGCAGGGGCGGCAACGGCGCTCGCACCGACCCACGCTGAAGCCCAGCCGGTCGCTGCAACGTCACTAGTGCGGCACCCGGCGCTGCTGCCGTCTGGTAGCCGGGAAGCTCTGGCACATCCCCAAGGTTCTGCTGCCGCTGCAGGCAGGGAGACAGGTTAGGGCAGGAGTCAAGCTTGCACCATATCACTACACCAGTACCTTGAACCATGCCCCGCAGTGGAGCGCGTGATGCTGCTCCCCCTGCACATCAACATGGGTCCTCTCTTACCCTGAAATTTGCGATGCTCATGCGTGCTCCTGCGCCTCCAACTGAACGCCGCGGCGCCAGCCTCTCCCTGCCGCTCGCCGCCAGCTGGCCAGGCTCCACCTCAGCCTCAGCGTCTGCTGTGGCTGCCGCCTCCCTCCGAGCCCGACTCTTCGGGAACATGGTGCGAGGCGTGGCCTGCACTGGTGCCACCCGGTTGTCTGGCTGATTTTCTCGTGCTGTAGCTGGGAGCTGCTGGCACATGATGCCCTGCATCAGGCTGCCGGAGGCTGCGGGCGCTGCGGAGCGGGTGCTGCTGGGCTGGGAGGGGCTGTGCGGCATGCTTTCGGCCGCACTACTGAGGCCAGAGAGCGCCAGCTTGGGCACTAGGGGCACCAGCCGCACAGCACCGCCTTGCTGGAGGCTGCCAGGTGCAGCAGGGAATGCAGAGGTGCGGGGCAGGCCGCAGGGCGGGGTGCTTGAGCCACTATTGCCCAGCGACGAGCGGCGACTTCCAGGCTGTGACAAGCTGGGGCCCTCGGGCAGCATGCCTGCAAGCGGATAGCCAGGAAAGACGGTGTGGGGGGCATGCGGTGTGGGGGCCATGCAGCAATATTTAAATGAGGCTGCCTGCACACAGGTCCACTACATGCCTGCCCTCATCTCGCACCTGGCACATACTCCTCTGCTGCCATAATCAGCTTATCCTGTAGCTGCCGGTCACGCTCCAGGCGCGCAAGCATAGCTTGCGCCTGTGCAGGCCAGGAGCGTGCGTAGGCTCCATACAGGCTGCGTCCCACCACTCGCGTCTCCGCGTGCGCGTCCTGCACTGCTGCCAGCACTGCTCGCTCCACGCACTCCAGCTGCCGTTCGTAGATCGCTGGCTCCCACCCTTCAACAGCCCGCAGCAGAAATTCGGCCGCCGACTGTCGCAGCCGCCCGTTGCGGTCGCCTGCCACCACGGAGCACAGCTTGGGTAGCAGCCGCGGGCTAGGGCAGGCGGCCAGCATCGCATATGTGCAGGCATCAGCCGCTTCAGAAACAATCTGCAGTAAAGGGGGTCAGTCAGGCACAGCAAAGTCGTAAGGAAAGATGACCCCAACAGGCGATGGCGGCCCGTGTCTTGTTGTAGGCCCATTCATTCACCTGGATGCCCATGGCCAGAGTCTTGAAAACCACTGGCAGCAGGTGCACAGCCAGCGGCTCAAAGCTGGTGCCACAGGCTGCCGCCAACACACAGACGGTGTGGCATGCCTGCCGTGACACCGCCGACCGCCGCTCTTGCATCTGCACCCAAGCACGTATGCGGGTTGGACCCAGCTGCCAGCGCTCGACAAATCATGTGGAGGCACCTGGCAAGCTGGACCGTCCTGTCGCCTGCCTGTCTAACTGCCCCAACCATGCAAGCATGAAGGAGCGCTGTTGTTCAATCCAAGTTGGCACTGGTGCAAGCAACATGCCCTCAGCTTATGCACCTGCGCCGCCAACGAGTCCCGGACACCAAGCAGCAGCTCCGGAAAGGTGGCGAAGCCTGCGGCGCCGCTCTGCACCAGACCCTCCAGCCTCAACAGCGCATCCACACGCTGTGTCCAGTCCACCGAGGACACCAGCAGGTCCGGCAGGTGTTCCATCTCGGCCCGCAGCGCAGCACTGCATCCCACCGCCACCGGCACCGCCTCTGGCAGGCCGTCGAATGCACTCGCAGACACGATCCCTGCATGTAGTGGATGTTCATGGGGGGGCATGGATGTCACGCATGCCCTGCATGGCACCTCGGTCTCGCCCAACAGCTCGGCTGCGGTCGGTGCTGCTTACCGTCGTTGTGGCCGCCCCGTCGCTGCCTGGCCTGGCGGCCCAGCTCCTTGGCCTCCATACCGAATGAACTTTTCGCTCCTTGCTGCTCTGTAGGGAGAGGCCAGGGAGATCAGAATAAACACAGGTAAACGTGGTGAACGCCGCAACCGCCTCAGCTCCGCCCGTCGCGGCCACCTCGGCCCTGCGCTTGCCTATAGCATCAAGGAAGCCTGCGAACCACAGCTGGCGGTTCCCTCGGCAAGTAACTGCAAGGCGGAGGAGGTGGCCTGTTGTTGGCGAGCACAGTCAACCGCGTGATCGCCGCGTTGCAAAGTGTGGAGGCGGCGCTGATGTCTTTCTGGCCAGCTGTCTTGTTTGCCAGGGGCAGCGCTCACAGCATGCCATACCAACCGAACAATTGCCTCCATACCAACCGAACAATTGCCTCCACAGCCAGCCAGGCCTGGAATTATTGCATCATTCATCTTCCACCATCTGGCTGTAATGCTTCATCTCCTCAGCCCCCACCAGCCTGCCTTGGTGCTTGACGCTCATTTGGCTTCCAGGCAGACATTAAGTCCCGCCTACCATACCGCCCCACCCCAAGCGGGCGGGAAGCACCCCAATGATCCCACTTGCTGACCGTCGAAGCGCTGGTTCTGCTGCAATACCCCACCCCCACCATACCCCACCCCCACCATACCCACTCTACGGAAGGACATGGTTACCCCATGCAATCAACAGGGAAACATGGGAGCGCTATGCGCCACGGCCGCTCCCCCTGCCTGCAAATGCAGCAAGCTAGGCGTCAGTGCAACAGAAGGGGGGGGTGCTTGACTGGGCTTGTGATTTCCTCCACCGCGGCACCGTCGCCCAGTGGTGGGCAGCAGCGTAGCGGCGACTTGCAGGACGGGAGGGAGCCCAAACCCCATCTGGCGGTCGCTGGCTGCCTGCTCCTCTGCCTCGCCCCGCTTTTCCCTCCTGGATGCCTTTCCGGCGCCTGCGTTCCAGCGTTCCAGCGAGCCTGCCCAGACTGCACCGAAAGTGTTCCCAAGGCGACCAGCCCGGCCCCTGGCCAATTCTGCCAGCCTCTGAGAGCGGTTCATAGAGAGCGGGGATCACCCAAACCCAACCTGGGCAGGGCTCGTCCTGACTTGCACGGCCGGGTGTTGTGGTGAGGGGCGGTGGCTGTGTTGCCCAGGCGGCCCGCTGGAACACGTCCTTGTGAGCCAGGCGCAGGTAGCGAGGGGGATGGGGGAGCAGCGCTCCAGCACGGCACCCTTCGACCCAGTGTGCCACGGCTGCCACCAGGCGCAAGTCGCCCGCCCGCCCCCTCAGCTTTCGGATGCACTTCCATGGACCAGGAAGGGGCTGGCGGCGGCAGCCCACCCCGAGTAACGTGCTGCGGCTGCAGATTCCTTCGCAGGTGGGCGCACCGGTGCAGACCGAGGCCCCCCAGCGCCCCCAGGCCCCGGGCCCCATCCAGTCCGTCCCCGGGGGCCCCGCCGCGGCAGCCGGGAGGCCGGCTTCGCGGCAGCCCCATCCCCCCGCCCTGAGCCCGCTGCGCCCTTGTTTGCAGTCCGATCAAGCCAGCCGTGGGGCGCCGCAGGGCTCAGGCCGGCAGCAGCTCCAGCACAGATAGCGCGCCTTTCAAGGCAGGGCCTGCCCCTGTTGGGGCTCCAGCAGCGGAGCAGCCAGCCATCCTGAAGCCGCACTTGACGGGCCGGCGCTCCCGTTCTGACTCGCCCAAGTCGCAGGGCGAGGCAGAGGAGCAGCCCGTCAAGCGCCAAAACTCCATGGGACACGGTGCGCGTTGGTGCCCAAAGCGCCATGCCGGCGCATTGGCTCGCCCTGGCGCTTCGCTGCAATGCAGCACGCTCATCCATCATACCCTGCTGCTGCCGCCGCCTGCCTGCCTGCAGATGATCCGTTGATAGGACCCCCTGACAGCGGCAGCGTTGGAGTGCAGCCGATGGACGAGGCGGCGGTGTCGCCCACGGCGCCGCCGGCAGCAGCAGCGGCGCCTCAGCCGACTGCAGCAGCGGCAGCGCCAGCCAGCAGCTCGCGAGGCGGGATAGAGATGACGACAACGCAGCAGCAGCGGCAGCGGCAGCAGCAAGGGGGGTCACCGGTGCACCCCTCTGTGCTGCACGCCTGCCCCCCCTTTGGCAGCAAGTCTGTGATTGGCCGGCGTGCCAAGATGGAGGATGCCTGCGTGGCAGTCCCATACCTAGTGGAGGTGCCCATCAGCCGCCACGGCATGGACGAGCTGCTGCCGCCCAGGATAGCACCGCAGTTGCGCAGCTCCAGCGCTGGCGGCGTCTCGACGCTCTCCGACCTGACCGGGGTGCCTGTGCCAAGCGCTGGCGGCAGCAGCAGTGCCGTGCACGTGCCCGGGGACAGTAATGAGCAGCAGCAGCAGCAGCAGCAGCAGCAGCAGCAGCAGCAGCAGCAGCAGCAGGCACAGCCACGGGCCATGGTCATGGCCGTAGACCCCGTCAGTCAAGGTGCCGGTGGCGGCGGCAGCAATCCGTCGCATGACATCGCCACCGAGACACTTCATTTCTTTGGCGTATTTGATGGGCATGGCGGTGCCGATGCAGCGCTGCACTGCGCCAAGTCGCTGCATGAGCGAGTGCGGGACATGCTCTCCGCGTGCGCAGTTGCGCCATCTGGGGACCTGCTCTCGCTGCGCTCTAAAGACCTAGATGGCAGCGGCACACCGGCCGCCCAGATGACTGCAGCAGCAGCAGAGGCAGGTCCTCAAGCATCTAGCAGCGGCAATAGCGGGCAAAAGCCAGGCGGCGGCAGCAGTGGCGGCAGGGACGATGCAGCCTCGTCGCGGCCGCCTACCAGCAGGGGTGCTGTGTCCCGGGGAGCTGCAGGTGGGATTGAGCGATAACGGCAAGTGGTACAGCACCACTCACCCACATTTTGGTCTGCCAGCCGCTACCAGTGCACAGTGCTGGGCCGCGTGCTGCTAGCCTGTCACAGGCAGCACAGAGAGGCACTGCAGCAGCAAGCAGCACAGCCAAACAGTCTTTTGGCCATGATCCCTACTTTGCACTTATAGCCAAGTGTTTATTCATGTTTGCCTCCTCCCCCCACCATGCCCGCCCCTGCAGGCGCCCTGAACTCCAAGGCTTCTGGCAGCAGCAGCAGCTGTGCAAACAGCTATCTAGATGCGGACTTAGATGTCGCCGAGTCTGCCGCCGCCGACCATAGCATGCAGGTCCTGTCCTGCACAGCAGAAGCAATAGAGGCGGCGCTGACCAAGGCGTTCCACATCACAGGTAGGGTTTGGGCTGTGCAGGCTGCATGTTGCCAGCTTGCTGTTTGCAGCTTGGCTCGCAGCACTGGATTGATTGTGCTTGCATGCGTTGTTTGACGCTTAAGCATGGATTGCATTGAACGTAGGACAGCAAGTCCTGACCCAGCTAGCTTGACAGCGTTGCACCTGGCCGGGAGTGACCAGCTGGCGAGCGCACGGCTGCTGCCTGCCACACATTTCCTGTTCCAGTTTCCTGACTGCCTATTGCCCTACGTCGCCTGCCCTGCGGCTGCAGATGAGGAGTTTGGCAACATGGGCGGCTACGAGCACCTGGCTCTTGTGGGAACAACAGCTGTGGTGGCCTTGGTGGGCAACCGCATGATCTATGTGGCAAACTGTGGCGACTCGCGCGCGGTGCTGTGTCGATCTGGTGGCGCACTGCCACTCACGGACGACCACAAGGCGGCACGGGAGGACGAAACGGTGGGTAGCGGGGACTGCGCAAGTTTTCTGCTGTTAAGCAGCTGCGGTCTCATAACTGGGAAAAGCACAACTGCGCATCGGGAAAAGCAGGGGAGAGCATGCAAGCAACTTTCAGCAGATGCTTCTTGTGGCCAATGTTCCTGCATCTGTCCCCAGCACCTTTGGTGGACGCCGCTCTGGCCTTGTGTTGCAGGCTCGTGTGGAGGCGGCTGGTGGGCAGATTCTGTTTTGGAATGGCGTGCGCGTCATGGGGCTGCTGGCAGTGTCGCGTGCCATTGGAGACCACTCGCTGCGGCCATACGTCATTGCGGAGCCAGAGGTGAATTGAAATGGCCGCGCTCTGCTCTGCTCCAGGCTCCACCACTCCCGAGTTCAGCCTGCTCTTGCCTGTATGCTGCTGTGTGGCCCTGCTGCGTGCAGCCCTGGCATGTGTCCACACAGCGTCTCAACAGCTCCCGCTCGTCCTGCAGTTGCAGCGCCGCCGTCGGTGTAGCTTTCCTGCCTCGATCTTGTGCAGCTTTGTCTCAACCTTCCCCTGTCCTTGCCTATGCTGTCCTTTGCTCCAGGTGACCATCATTGCACGGCACCCCAGCGATGAGGTGATGGTGATGGCCTCCGATGGGCTGTGGGATGTTATGAGCAACCAGGAGGCAGTGACGCTGGCCAAGAAGTGCCTGGGCAGGACGCGGTCACGCGGTTCCACGCGCCAGGTGCACCCCACCCGCCAGCTGCCGCCCCAGCTGCTGCCTGCCTTTGTGCGGCTGGCGGGCCTGCGTCAATCTGTTTGCATGACTGCGGCTCCAGGGCATGATGTGCTGGTGCTGACGCTGGCTGTAACCACATGTGGTGCCCTCCCTACCTCCCCAGCATGGGCCTGACGTTCATGCCTTCCGATGAGCTGCCCCCGGTGCCTGCCTGGTTCCCTGCAGAGTGCGGCACGCGTGGCTGCAACCGTCTTGACTCGTGCTGCAGTCGATCGCGGCAGCCGGGACAATGTGACTGTGGTCATTGTTGATCTGTCGCCCATGACAGCTGCGGAGATGGAGGCAGAGGCACAGCTGTCGGAGGTGCGGGCGCTGTGGGTGTGCTTCCTTGGGTGTGATGTCTGCATAGGAGGGCTGTGCGCCCAGACTGCTTGTGGATGGCGCGTCTAGAACAGCTATGCTCATGCGAGCAAGCTGTCAGCCACAACGGAATAAGCACGAGAGCGTATAGAGCAGCCCAGTTTTGCTCTGCTGCTGCTGGCTGCCTGCTGCCCTGCTCTTGCTGCTGGTTCCTGCTGGCAGGTCGCAACCTCCAGGCTGCATAACTTGCGCATTTTAACCACTCCCTGAACCTTTCTTGTGCACCCTTCCTCCTCTGCAGCGCTCCGAGACGGCAACCGACGAGCGGACGCAACGGGCGCGCAGCATCCAGCCATCAGCAGTGGCTGTGCGGTCAAGCATAAGTGCCAGCGGCCTGAGCGTTGGGCAGGGCAGCGGGCCAATTGCGGGGCCGCCGCCCGTCCAGGCATCGCCATTTGCAGGCGCAGCAGTGGCTCCGACTCCCACAGCCCCATCTCCATTTGCTGACCCGCCAGCAGCTGCGGCAGAAGCAGCGGCTCCAGCCGTGGCACCACCAGCCACAGCGCTTGTCAGCCCCTTTAGCAGCGGCGCTCTGCCAGCGGGGCTGGATTTTGATGTGCAGCAGCATGCCAATGCAGTTGCAGCGGCAGCGGCGGCAGCAGCAGCTAGCGCAGGGGGGGCGCCTGCAGGGCAGCCCGTGGGCGCCTCCGCTGCTAAGCTGCCAGCAGGCGACAGAGCCTAGCCAGCCCACCGCGATCAGCCAATTTGGACCCGTTGCAGCACCATCCCACCAACAAATGAAGCCTCGAGCCGCGTGCTGTTGGCGCTGGCCAGCGATGCAACAATGCAGCATCTCCCGGCCTCAGTTACAGTTGCGAGTGACCTGGCCCTCGTGCAGCGGTGCATGTGTGCGCTCCCCGCTCAGGGCCTCCCGCCTCCTGTACAACACCTGTGCCGCTCCCTGCCAACCATTGGCCATGCTTGCTCGTCTCTCCTCCTCCTTCCTCCCTCGTTGCTTACCTGCGCTTGCTGCGGCTGATTGACAGCTGTGCGCAGGGGAGCATGTATGCCTCCTGCTGTTGCGGGCCCCGCCCCAACCTCCCCCCTCTCCTGCTCTTTGCCTGCTGCTGTGGGTGTGCGCTTGGTATTCTTTCTCAAATGACACCCTATTGACTGCTGCCGTCACCACCGCCATGCACCGCTGCTTCCAAACACCCTGCCACAGCCAATTTGAGGCGCCGCCGCCCCCCCCCCCCCGCCCTGCAAGCGCTGCACCCCAGCAGAGGCACTGTGTCCCCCAAGGCTCCTTCTTTCCCCGCACCCCAGTCTGAGCTCCTTCCCGTTCCTTTGCACCCGTCTGTTCTTTTCTGCACAAGTGTTGGCCAGCCGTCGGTGTTCCGACCATGCCCCGCGACCGCCGCTGCCGCGGCGCCAGCAGCTGGCGCCTCTTCTTGAAGCTAATCTTCCTTCTTACCCTTCTCCTCCCCTTCCTTGGCAGCGAGATTGCATCCCCCGTGCCCAGCAGCGTGAGGCGGACTGCCCGCCGCTGCCCCCGCGCCTGCTTCACGCTGCATTCCTCTGCAGTGCGCGCATGTGAGCGTAATCTGTGAGCCTGCACTTGCCCCTCTTTTCCTCTTTTTTCAGACTGCGCGCAGTACCATGGACTCGCAATGTAACCATAACAGTTCAGAGTGTGTGGAGGGACAGCGGCTTGCTTGGGGGGGACAGGGGCTGCTTCGTCGCAGGGAGCAGCTGGCAGAGGCTATTGCGCCTGTCGCTGCTTTCCCATTGGGCCCGTTGCTGCAGGTGCTGCTATCTCCAAGCCCTCGTTGCTGCGTGGAGATGCTGTTGTTGCAGCAGCCGAACAGAGGCCCTCTGCTGCTGCTGCGGCGGCTGCTGCCAATTGCCGCTGCAAGAACAATGTTGGGAGGCATCAGCACAGATGATGCTGTCGCCGATATCGCGTTCAAACAGCACGCCCCGCCGCCCACCTACCTCGTATCTACGCAGGTTGAGCGTGTGATGCGCCATCCTCGCAGTGCACATCACACCCAGCACAAACCCAATGGTGCCAGCGCAGGTCCAGGCAAGCCAGATGGCACTAGAGGAGTAAGAAAGGGTGCAACATAGGTACTCCTTTATCTGGTGATACAGGGGGGCGATGCTGGCTGTCAGTGCCTGCTCCTCCAGCGCCCATACTGCAGGAGGGCCGGGCAGACAAGGGGGGACGGGTCACTGCAATATGTCACGCACGGGCGTTCCACTGCCAACGCCTTCATGAGGGCTGCGAGTGTGACAACATGCGTGCCGCAGCATGCAGCCGTGCCTGTGTTCGACACATTGGGCAGTAAACCCGTCACGTGGTCTAGGGCTTCGATGCAGCCAGGGCAGGCGTCGCCTTGCAACCCTGCTTGTATGAGCAGTGCCTGGACCTGCAGGCAGTAAACAGTAATGAGCAGGCAGGGAAGTGAGTAGCGTGAGACGGCATCCGCCGCGTGCGGGCCAGTGTACTGCCTGCCACCCCAGCTGCTGCAATCTACTGCTTCGCATGGGCAAGCCCACCTGTGGCAAACTGCCCATTTCGAGGACTTTACTGGCCACTGGCAGGATGGGCCCCTGCAAGCATTTCATAGAGATGGAAACCATCCACAGATAGTAACTATCCACAGAAGGTTAAGAGCAGCAGGGCATCGTGTCATAGAGAGATGGCAACCATCCACAACGGTACAGGGAGGCCTGCCTCCTGCCCCTGCCTCCTGCCCCTGCCTCCTGCCTCCTGCCCCTGCCAGGCGCCTGCCTCCTGCCCAGGCGGAGGCCTCCTGCCTCCGCCCGCCTCCATCCTGACATCCGCTCCCTAAGCAGCGCGACACACGCCTAATCTGAGCTATGACTGCGCATGCATGGCATGATTGGCAAAGACGCATTTTGTCTGTCAATGCATTTGAATTAAACCGCTGCACGTACTCACAGACACAAACTCGTGGAGCAAGTAGGTTGGAACGCCGATCAGCGAGTCCATCACCATTGCATCGGGAATCGCACGCAAGCCATAGTAGTAGCTGAAAATTGAAAGCACCTGCGACACAAGAAGAAACACACCATCTGGCTGCCTGCACCACGTGCCTGCCAGGAAGATGCGGCATGGACATGCAGGTGGGGCGCACCCGCTCCCTCCGCGTGGCCGCCACTTTGCGGTCTGCGAGCACCATGCTACTGTACTCGGCGTATAGGCAGGCGTCACTCGACACGACATACACAGATCGCAGGAGGCCCACGCCAAGGAACATCAAAAGACTAATATCGAGCCAGAAGAACAGCAGGGCGACAGTGGATGCTCGGTACCAGCGCAATGACCAAAAAGTCACCGCAATCACGACAGAAAACAGGATGGTGGTGCCAAACACGACTGCATCAGCAGCAGTTTGCAAGGGGCGAGAACGAGGCATGGGGTAGTGAGCAGCATGCAGCCTGAGCGAGGCGTCGCTGCATGCAGCTCCGCCCCCATCCCACCAGCAATGGGGATGAAGCGCCAGGTGTTCTCAATGGCCATGGTGGGGCGCTCCCAAGAGTGACGGATATCTTTAATAATCTTCGTTTAGCATGTATATTGCAGCAAAAAAGGGAATCACACAATCAAGGCCCACGGGCAGGTGCAGCCGCCAATGAGACAGGAGGGCACTGACTGCATCCTCCCTGCCCTTACATCACTCCTGGTGCAACACAACACGCCTTGCCCTGCCCACCTTCCTGAAGGTGTCTCCCAGCAGGGCCACGCCGCTGTCAATGCTCAGGTGGATGTTGTCGATGATGGTGGGCAGGCCCACAAGTGCCTCCACTGCTGTCTCCGCCCTGTTGCGCACCGCGGTCACGTTGGTGGAAGAGTTGAGGAATCGGGTGGTGGAGTTGAGAGCCGAGCCGATGGCAGTACTAGCATTGAACTTCTTGGACGAGGCGGCCACCACTGCAGCGAGGTCGCTAGAGTTCAGCCAGCCTACCACGGTGTCAAAGACCGTTAGAATCTCTGGTGCCTTGCTGGACACCACGCTGACATTGCTGCTCAAATCCAACAACTGGTGAACATGGCGGGGGGGGGGGGGGGGGGGGGGCGCGGGCGGCAACAGCCACGTTAAGTTTGGGTGCCTCTGTGGAAGTGAGGGCAGGGGCTTGCTGCAGTTGGGCAGGCCGAAGGCATGCCATGCACATGTGCAGAGCAGAGAGCAACGGCGGCGGTCCCACACCTACCTGCTGGCCCAGCAGATCCAGCTCGCTTTCGGCATTGGCCACCTGCTCCAAGCAGGGCAGGGTGGGGGATGTGTCCAAGCAGGGTGGGAGATGTCGGCAAGTGCTAAGGCGGGCATCGGTGTGGTCACGCCTGCCGGCCGCACCCACGCAAATTTACTCACTTTTTCGTTGACCACATTCACTATCTTCCAGAACTCTGAAATGGTATTAGATGTCAGAGCGATGCTCTCCACCATGCCCCAGCTGCTGATCCCGACCAGCGCCAGCGCAAACGTTAACAAAATGGCTTTGTACACAAAGGCTGCGTGGTCACGACGCTCGTGCATGGGGTGTATGGGTGCGTCTGCAGGCCAGTACGATGCATTCTCAATCTGCATTGCGTGGCAGCAGGCACATCAGCGATGGGACGCTCGTTACACGGACTGCTGGGCTGGGCAATGAAAGAGCGCGGCAGCAAAGCCGCCTGTGCGGCAAGTCCCACCCTGCAAGGTGGCCTCAGCCCTACCTGCTGCTCTCTACTGGTGAGGAATTGTGCCTGCTCCGCTGCGGCCCGCCGCTTGAAGCGCCACCGCTGTCCACATTGCATGCACAGCCACAGGAACCAGAAGATGAATGGGACCAGCGACAAGATGCCAAAGAATAATCCAGGGACCACAGATGGGATTAGCCTCTGCATGCAAGAGGCACATCACGGCGTTGGCAACCCGGGGCCTGCCAGCACAAGTCGGCGGCAAGCAGGTTGAGGAAGGAAGCAAACCTCGAGGTAGGACGAATCGGTGATGTCAAACGCAGCGGCATTCTGCAGGTTCACGTCTTCGAACTTTAGAGTAGAGCATTTGGGCAGGTAGGTAACAACGCCGTTGGCGATGACACCGCCACCGGGAGCTATCGTGATGTTCACCATTGGTGGAGGCCGCGCACACACACACGGTTTCTACTGGTGAACCGGGCGGGCGGCGGCGGCGGCGGTGTATCAGGCCTGGGCCCCGCGCCCGTCAGGAGCTGCTAGTGTCCCCGTGCAGTGGCTCGAGCGCGAAGGAGATGAAAACGACCCGGCGGGGTAGACGATGTTCAGTGGCCGACGCGTTCGGGCGCCGCGGGTTTGTGGCAACCCCCCCAAGTGAATGGGTGCGCTGGTTGCAGCCCAATGCATCCAGAATGAACGGTGGCCTGCCTGCATGCCACATGTGGTGCCAGCGGGCGCGCCGAACATGCGCTGCTGCGGTGTGAGCCACCTAATGATCTGACTGCGCGGAGGCCCCATGCATGCGCATTCCTCACACAGTCTGCAGCCCCTATTGTATGCCTGTCACGTTGGTTGCGATAGCCGGGGGGAAACAGTGTGCCAGGCAGCCATGCACGGTTTAACAAAAAAAAACAGCCCCGGTTCCTGGCTTGGAAGTGGCATTGCCCTGGCTGCATTCCGAGGATGGGCCTCGGCCAACCCTCACAATCGTAAACGAGCTGTGTGATGATTTGGGGCCTGCGCGGGTGGGCGGGCGGGCGGGCGGCGGCGGCGGCCAGCTGGCAGTTCCCCATGGGGCCCCACCTTTCATGCTAACCGGCAATTGCACGTCTTCGTGACACCTTGCCCCCTTACCTTGGGCCTCGCTCGACAGTCTGAAGGCACCTCACTTCACCTCCCTTTGCAGCTCCTGCCCGATCGGGGGTCCTGGTGGCAGCTAGAGCACCGGCCGAATGATGCCGAATGCAGCCATGCTCGACACCTGCAGGCAACCTGCCAACCTCCGACAGCAGGCGGGTGCTGGCAACCTGCTCCCTGTATGCTTGGGGCGCCCAGGATTGGTGCCACCGCGCGCCACTGCCGCTTTCATTCCTTCAGGTGCGGCTCCTGCTGCTGTGCTGTCGCGCTTGACGGGAGGACCGCCCCCGCTGGACAACGGCAGTGGGCTCTGTTGCCGTTGGGGCCCACCTCCTCTGGAACTGCACTGCTGCAGGGCGTAACCTGGCAGTGCGGCAGCATCAACGAAGCGTGCAGCCTATGGCGCCGGCCGGCGGAATGCCACCGCGCGTTGCAGCCGCTGCCGTTGCGGCGCCACAAGCAACACCTGCGGCTGCGGCCGACCCAGACACCCTCAAGTCTTACATGCGGGTACAGAATGGTAGCGATGTGCGCGGCGTGGCCATCGACACAAATACCGCGGAGCCCATCACCCTGACCCCCGCCATGATGTTCTTCATTGGCGCCGCGTTTGCAGGCAAGTGTCCGCCATAGGTATCCAGGCTTGCACTCACTCGCCTGCGCGATGCACTGCCCTGTTCGCAACGCATTGGACATGGTGCGCTGCAGAGTGGCTGGCTGGCAAGAAGGGGCGGCCAAGCAGTGCGCTTCGGGTGTCGATCGGGCGCGACCCGCGCCTCTCGTCCCCACTCATGGCCGCCAGCCTGGCAGCAGGGCTGGCCGACGCGGGGGTGTCGGTGGCGCGCTTTGGCGCCTGCACTACGCCAGCCATGTTCATGAGCTGCATCCTGCCAGGTGGGTTGTTGTGGTGCTGCTGGGGTTCAACACGGTGGCAAGTCAGCTGTGCTACACCCCCGGCCTGCCCATAACCAGCACTTGCACACCGCATCCTGCCCTGGTCAAAAGCCAATGCTGCTGATGTGGCACGTGCCTCCAGCGATGCAGGCAGGTGGTGGTGGTGGTGGGTAGGTGCGCGGGAGGAGGCAGCCGATGATCAAGCAGCCAGTCTGGAAGCCCCAGAAGAGTGCTGCCTGTGCTGACGAATAGTATCCCTGCTGCTCACACAGGCCACGAGTACGATGGCGCTGTCATGATCACTGCCAGCCATCTACCTGTCAACCGCAATGGAGCCAAGTTCTGCACCGCTGAGGTCTGCGCCTATGTGTGTCTGGGCACTTCAGCAAGGGGTTCTTACACCCACCCATTTGCACCTCATTCCCAGCGCACTTCACCAAAGTGTATTGGCTCCCTTTGCAGGGCGGGCTTGAGAAGAAAGACATCACCACGCTGCTGATGCGTGCTGCTGAGCTGGCAGTGGATGCAGGGCAGCTGCCGTCTGACCGCTATAACGACCACGCCTTTGTGATTACCGCGGCATTGCAGGCCAGTAGCGCGCTGGTGCGGGTTGTGGATTTCCTGCCGGTGAGTTTGCGGGTGCAAGCGGCCGGGAGCAGCGCAAGGGTGGTGGCCTCTGCCGGGTGGTGTGGCGGTAGACGCACACGGGTGTCTGCTGCATTACCGCGATTGCAATGGAATCGGGGCAGGGGCTGATCCACCGACATGCTCCTGCTGCCATCTCGTCTGATGTCATCATGTGCTTGCAAGGCCGCATCCGTCGTTCTGCCTTGTGGAGCACTGCCTTTGATGCTCCTTCGCAGGAGTATGCTGCCTACCTGCGCGAGGTGATAAAGAAGGCCATTGCAAACCCTGAGCACCCTGACTCACCGCTCGCTGGCTTCAAAATCGTCGTCAACCCAGGCAACGGCGGCGGCGCCTTCATTGCCGATCAGGTAGACCTGGCAACTGCCAGCTTGCAAGGCGAGATGTCCTGCTACTAGTAGATGTAGGGACCAGGGAAGGGTCTGCCTGCCCTGAGAGGCCTGCTGCGTGCTCAGGCGTCTCGCGCTCCCCACAGGTGCTGGGCCCGCTGGGTGCTGATGTGTCTGCCAGCATTAATATGGAGCCAGGTCAGTGTCTGCAGGTCAGTGTCTGCTTAGCAGACACTGGACTCACTTGTGCTTGCTTCCCTCTGCCAACCTGTTGTCCCCTGGCCCAAGCCATCCTGACTATGCACCTTCGCCTCTACTCCCCGTA